TGCTCACAAACATATTCATTGCATTTATCATATACATCGCATATATCTATCATGCATTCACATTATGCACCATTCCACACATGGTTTACACACATATCAGCCTATCAATGCGTTTCTATTCAATTCGAGCAAATACACAAGATTATCAAATATTCAAGATTCACCATTTACTCTACAATCTAGGATTCACGCCTTTCGGCCACCCACAGCACGACATGTTGGAACAATTCACACATCGATCATTCATATAGGCACTAATCATAATTGAATCAATCAAACATCATGTCATGAACAAACAGCAAGACAAAATAACACTGCCAGGTTCGCCAACCTTCGCCTGGCGAAGCCACGCAGCGAATGCTCGCTGGCCTTCGCCTGGCGAACTCCCCAGCGAAGTCCACTGGGAGTAATTCTGGAATTACTCGCTGAGGCTCGCTACCCACTCGCCTGGCGAACCTTCGCCAACCCACCTCGCCTGGCGAACTTGCCAGCGAATACAGGGTATTAGCTTCTGACTTGCTTCGCTATAGCTCGCTGGGCTTCGCCTGGCGAAGCTTCGCTGCCATTCGCCTGGCGAACTTGCGAAGACAGAACTTCCATAGCTGTCTCAAAGCCCAAATCCACACAACCAACCGATTAAATCCAAACCAATCACAGTAGCACAACCCAACCATCACCCGACTAAACTACATCGTCTAATCCGATTTCTAACCGATTAAAACTTCGTTCTACTCACAAAACCAACTTCTAACCTAAGTGGAAAAAGAGTAGAAACTCTACAAAATCCACACACATACACATACAATCATACACATTAAAGAGATGATGGAGTTTCACACCCTTACCGATCGATTGCAAGCTTTGGTGATGATTCCTTGATGATTCTAGGTTTTCCTCTCCACTTTCTCTTCTCTTTCTCTTCTCCTCTTTTCTTTCTCTTGTTTTTCTTCTTATGTTACTATCTTCTTCCTTTTTCCTCTCTTATTCTATCTCTATCTCTATTTCTTTCCTCTCAAATTCTTTCCAACACTTATCAATCAATTCTTACACTAAAGTGTTAAATGTCTAAAATGCCCTTTTTACTCTAATCCCCCGAAAACTCTCCGAATCGGTAAAAATAGATAAAATAAGCAAAACACCACATAGCAATATATAATTTCTCAATTTAAAACAAACATCAATTAAATAAATTAAAAGACTCAACAATTAATGGGAATTCAGAATCGGGGCGTTACAAACGCCACCCTATAAGCTACAACACCAATTCTTTACAATATTTAAACCATTTTTATTTAACACCCAAATTCCCCTAGATTGATCACGTGCATCCACGTAATGAGCATTTACATATCTAACTCTATCCCGGAAATGTTTGGTCTTATGAAACCAATGCGTGTTTCCAAAATTATTAGAAATCTTAGAGAATGTTTTCAAATAATTCTGCCATATGACTTTTAGCCTTATTATTATAGGCTCCCTAGATATTCAAGGACAGCACACTGACTTCCTTAAAACCTAACACAACTATTCAAGTTGATGGAGGTGAAAAATCAAGTCTCAGACACGAGATAATTTAAGTAGCCAACTCTCATTCATTGGGAGTTTCATGAATAACTACCTCTTATTGAGTAGCCCTTTGTCGCGGTGAAATTCGGATGTCAAGCTATTGATTAACTTGAATCTTAATTCATTTACCACCGGTCTTTGATTTGTCCAAAGGAAGGGAAAAAGATCGAAATACCTACAATGAAATGCAAATGCAAAGGTTAGAGAGTTTTAAGTTCGGGGGTTGGTTAAACTTAAGGAAGGTGCTAGCATCCTAAGTTTCTGTAGTACTCTACAGGAACCTCTTGTTTTATGTTTGTTTATTGCTATGAGTTATCTGCTTAAGGGATAAAAGGCCTAGGGGTTTATTTCTAAGTATACTCGATAAGATATCGCATCTTATGCCTACATATCCTGACGAGAATGGAATCAGAGTATTTTGTAGTTCACCTAAAGGGTATGAGGAGTTCTTTGACTATGGTCAAAGTTCCTACGGGATAAGGTGGTTGGTTGATTGATTCTAGGAGAAAAGATGAGTTGTCATTTTAAGGGAGATTACTTGACTAGGCCACCAAGAATTGTAGAAATGTATTGATGTGGGGCAGAAGTTTTATCTCGCTTAAGATGATTAACATCTTATTCTCTAATGTTTGAATATTGAGTTGTTGAATTGTTTTTATCTAAGTTGTAAAAATAAAAGAAAAGGTCTTTCCTATGGGGTAGGATCTATCTTAAAAGATCAACTTGAATGAGATCAAGGATCATAGGGGAATATGATGCAAATGATATGCATACGCACAAGTTTTACGTTATATGCAAGTTCTTCCTTTGGACATTATACAATGCAAAAAAAAAATACGGTAAATGTAAATTGCGGAAAATAAAGGCGGATAAGTAAATCCATACACAGACGCATGAAAGCGCTAAGGTGCACGAGTGAGTGAAAGTGAATACGTGGAAAAAATCGAGGTGTAGACGCAGGCGTGCACGATTGATTGATTTTAGGCGGGGTTGATTTTAAGAAAAGTTATATTGAATTGATTGTAAGAAAAGAATATATTGTATTATTTTTTGGTGAGATTGATTTTAAGGAAATGTTGAATTATTTTTAGTGAGATTTGATTTTATGAAAATGTTGTTATTAGTTTTAATAAAAAGTTTAGATTAATTGAGGAAGTTGATTTTAGAAAAATGTTAATTTAATTTTATTAGCAAAAAGGTCTTAGATGTGTATTAATTTTAAATAAATAGGATTTTATTGAATAAGAATGAATTTTTAGTTATTATCATAAAAAGATAGAAGTTAAAATAAAAAGGTTTATTATAATTTATTTTAAAAGTTGCTTTAAGTATGAAATGATTTTAAAACAAAAAGATATATTATTATTTATCTAGAAAAGGATTTATTAGTTTATTTAAAAATGAAAAAAGGATGATTAAAGAAAAGATCTAATTAATTTTAAAAAAAAAAGTATTAGTTTAATTTTTATAAAAAAAAAGATTAAGGTTTAATTAGTTAGATTAATTAAAAGTTAAGTGTTAATATGGATTAACGAAAAGATTAGGACTAAGTGATGGTGGGGCGAGTGATCTGGTGAGGTACGTGGGTGAGGGCTTACGATGGAATGCAGCGGTGGATAGGTGGATTAGATCCGTTGGAGATCTAAGGGCCACGTGCATGAGGGTGCATCATGTGTGTGTGTGTGCACGTACACGTGATTATTACAACAATAAAAACAAAAACAAAAAAGCAAGGAAAAAACCATAATCCTCAAATCGACCCCCCCCCCCCCCCCCACACACACACATCTTCCCCTTCATGATCCACCATTTTCTCTCTTTCACTGCTCCTCAACCTTCTCTCAATTGCTCTATTCCTCTCCTTCCATCTCTTCACCGATTCGAAGTGGTTCCTCAGAACAGTTCCATGAAATTCAAAGCAAAACAAGCAATGACCAGCAGAGTTAAACCAAAACATTAAAAATGAGTTAGATAGAGAACGGATTTGCCCATTCGAAGAGATAATCGAGTGGATGGCGGCGAAACGAGGTCGCGATGAAGACGGAGGCCTCAAATGGTATGAGATATGGAGATTCAATCTCTGGCGAGGTGGACTCCACGATCGAAGATGAGTCTTCTTTTTCTCTCCTTTCGTCTTTCAATTTTCTCCGCGATTTCTCCTATTTCTGTTCTTCTCCTACATAGAACAAACAAGAAAGTTAATAGATTAGCCATGTTAGCCTGGAAACACTTACGATTTTAATGGCTATCACAGGTTCGACGACCGATGATTCGCGGACGGTGCGAGGGTGGCGACGACGGCTATGGGGATTTCCGGTGTGGAGCGATTTCAACTGCGATAGGTTCGTGGACGGAAAACCATCATGAGATAAGTCCTCGTTTCCCTCTACTTTCCGTGTTCTGAGTATTTAGGTTTTTTTTAATCTTTGGGATTTCTGTGGAATTCTGGATTGCTGTGAATTGTTGTGTGTTTGGGTTTCTTGATTGGGGATTTTTCGTCTGTTGTTGAATTTTACTTTGGATGTTTGTGGTTTTTTTCTGATATCTGTGAATTTCTGGCTGGCCTTGAACGTTGATGAATCCTCTTCCTCTTATAGCTTTTCACTTCTTTGCTAATTAATTCAATGGTTAATTCATTTCCAAATCCGTATGAACATGTCTATCCGAATTTGGAAAATGGTTTATGACTTTGTCAACACTATTTTGGAAGGTTTTATTGTTGTCTGATTCTTGTTCCTTTGTTGTGGATCTATGATTTAAACGAACTTGCCATCTTTGGATTTGAAAGATAACGATTTGAATATGTTTGCTCTTCTTCATATTAGTGTCGGATTTTACTGGATTGCTAACTGTTCTTGATTTTCTTATTAGATTATCAATAATGAATTCTTAATTCCTTTGTTTTTTCAATGCAGTACCGCAGCTGAGGATGCTGTCTGTTGGGGATAAGCAAGTGTAGTAGAAGGTCCTGGTATAAGTTGTATATGATACTATGTGCTGAAGAAGAAAAAAGGCCCTCTAATGTTGATTGTGTTCGAGGTGCGACCCAGCTCTCCATTACTAATTTCAGACACACTTGAATTAAATTCCTCCGTCCGGTTTCTTTTGCAGTTTTAGGACGTAAGACGTTTGGACTGGTTTCGCTAGGAAGGAGGCCTGGTTTGAGTCAACACGAAGTTGTGGCTATGGAGCGTAACTTCTCTTGAGTTTCGATTTTAACTTTAACTCCATCTTAGCTCCTGTGTAACAAATCAAATAATTGTCTCTCTACTTTCTCTTATAGATTACGCAGGCTGCCGCGACTGGGTGAGCTCTAGGAATCTTAACAGCATCAATGACCTTGAAGTTTTTACGTTACGGTAGACAAAAACATCACTAATTCTCATGCTTAATCCAATATGTACCCACTTGTTTTGCTTATGGTTTAAATGTTCTTATTGAAATAAATGTAGGTTGGGGCGGCCATGAGCTTTCTGAGGAATAATCATGCTAAGATGTCCCAAGGATTGTGAGTTGTTGTACAAGCGGGTAGCTGTCGCATTCGGCGTCTTCACACATTCTTTTATTTTTATGCAGAAGTTCTGGTATTTGTGGATTCGATGAGCTCTCTTGTTTGATTTTCCTGCGGATGCCTGCGGTTCTATTGAGTTATTGCCGCCAGCCACCAATAATTGTTGAATTATGTTCTGAAGTTTGGCGGTAAGAAATCGATTCCTGCCATGGTAATGCGAGAGAACAATTGCCATTCGTATATTCTGATTGTCGGTTGGTATTGGTTTTTGACAGGTTGGAAGGAATGGTGATTTTTCGGAATCACGGTGGATGAGTTCAACACTAAAACCATTGTTGAGTGCATGAGAAAGAGAAACAATGAAACTAACAAGACAAAAGAACAACAAGGTTTGAAAGTTATGTGAACTCATTGTTGATATGGATGGGTTTTAATTTCAGTAGAGATAAATGGGATCCAGTCCTCCCTTTCAATGTAAATCAGTATAGTAACATTTGTATAAAGAGCTTGGTGTTAATAAATGCTCAAAATATCAGTTCTGATTTGCAGATGCTGCAGCTTCTCGAATTATGGTTTTGTATTAGTTTGTGTATCAAACCCAAATATCTATGTACCAATTGTGTTTTTGACCATAACAAAATATAAACTCTATTATGCTTGAAATGGTGTAGCCTGACAGTGGTATTCGTAGAGCTCCGAAGGGTTATTCCCAATTTGTAAACATAGTGGTGTGAGTTTGAGTAGAAACAAATGTTTTAGTGTAGAGCTTATCTCCCCATTTTTGAAACAAGAAGTAATGCAACTACACCACTCCTTCAAACCTTGAAAATGAAGATATAAATTGAAATAAAGGAGCCCAACATCTACATCCTCATGAATGACGCCTTCGACTATCGATTCTTGAAACCACTTTGTACAAATTAAACGAGTTTCAATCCAACTTGTATATTTGAGATCCAAATGGCCTGGTGACTGCCTTGGTCTATGAAAGTATTAAGCATTCCTTTTGATGAGATCTTGATTCCCTTTAGGAGTATATACTCTTAGGAGATAATGAGGGAAAAAGACCCCATAGAAAACCCTATAGCCGAATCCGAACCAGAACCAACCAGTTACGTCTTGAAGTCCTGACTGAGAATATACACTTGAAATTACTGCGTCTGCACACACTTGTTAGTCACATTACTCATGCACATATAAGCGAAATAAAATACTCAAGAAAATAACAAAAGAGGTGGAATCTTAAGGTAAAAAATTAGGGTGTGACACACTCTCATCCATATTGCATTGGTAATTTCTATTTTCCTGACTTATTGTCAGTTCAAAATGCAGAATGTTGTATCGTGTGATGGTATCCAAACCCAAATTTACTATGGGAGTGATGAATGTGTAATTAACAATACTAGGCACATTTTTTTGTGAATGTTGGGAATTAAAAGTTGGTCGAGTTTTGTGCTAAGGCACACTAAGAGTAAGATGTGGTTCCACATTAGTAGATTTGGCCTTGGTGCATGGGTTCCATATGCATGTTGGGTGACGTGCATTTGGGGTGGGTCCACTCTTATCAAATCATTGTTTCTTAGAAATCGCGTCATGGTTGTTGTACCCCAAATTTGACCAACCTTTTTCTTATACTTGGCTTATGTTTCATTTTTTAGCATTGTGCATTTGCATAGCATTATTCTCAACAGGGCATCAAGAGTGATGTGCCAAGGGTTTCAAGCTCAAGCAAGAGAGTTTATTCAAGTCATCAAGTGTTTGCAATCACCATGAAGTTGTCAAAGCTCCTTAAGAAAGGGGGATTGATGTGTGTTGCTTGTCTCTTGTCTTGGGGGTCAACAGAGGATCATCAGGGGTCCATGAGGTCATTGAATTGGATAGGATATGATTTAGAAGCTAATTGGTTACATTGGATGTTATTGTGGAGCTTATCTAGGCATTCATTTCATCTACAAGAGGTCACAAACAAACGATATGGATCTAGGGTTTCATCTGGTCAACTCAAGGTCAACTGTAGACTTGAGAGTTTAAGACTTAGTTTTAAGTCATTGAAGCCATGGGAAGTTATCTTGAGACATTTAGGATATCATTTCAAGATCAAATCAAGAAGAATCAAGAGTTCAGGAGGTTACTAAATTAGGGTTTCAGAGGATCTCAGTGTAAAATCCCCTTCTTTAGTGCCTAACTTCAAGGACAATTTACCTCATGATATAAGTTCAATTTCACTTTCATGCAAACATGAAATGTGTAGAGCATGTTATAATATTTATTTTGAGTACTAGAACTCATCCATTGAGTGTGTAGAATTCAAGTTATGATGCCAACAAGTTAGGGGTCTCAGATGAACTTATTTTTGGTCAACTCACTTCCAAGGCACTTTTGACCTAGAATCAAGTTTTTCCTCAACTTCAAGTGAACATGAAAGTTGTTCCTCATGGTCTTAGATTTCCAAAAATTCCTATAAGTCCTTGATATCATTTGTACATCTCAAGTTATGGACCTCACAAGACAAGGGCATTTTGGGAAAGTTTCATTATAGATCATTTGTTTCATAGGTCATTTTCATGAACTTATGTACCTCAAATGCTCTTCCAACCAACATGAAAGTTGTTCATAAAGACCTTATTTACATCATAGAACTCAAGAATCATGTGAATTATGGATGTATATGGCCATGTGGGAAGATTTTCATGTGAAATTTGAATTTTTAAGCATGACATGAATTTGGTTCATTATAGGTCATATTTATCCCTCATTTTGAATCAATTCACACCATAATAAGATCATGAGAAGATTTCACAAATTGGTTTGGTACCAAATGCGTGGAAACATGACATTTTTCAAGTTCCTTCATGAAAAAGTTTCTACTTCAAACTCACAATGTGGATCAAATCAAAAGCCCAATCCAATTCAAATGCAAAATACACCTCACATGCTGCAGATTGGTGATCTCACAAGGTATGAATGAAGCAAAACGCGTGTGCTTGAGTGAGGTTTCTTATTTGGGAAAATTTTCAAATCTCACAATTGAGGCTTCATGGGCCTGCATGACACATTCAAATCCGTCATATATAAGCTAAGAGCTTACCCTAGAAGCTCATAACGCGCAATTGGAGCTAGAGAGAGCAGAATCAAATTCAAATTTCTCAAGAATTTTCCATCTTCGAATTCCATTTTTCTCTGCAAATAAATTGAAATTCAAGCTTGATTCTTCTTCCTGGGAGAATTTGGAGTGAAACTGAAACAAGATAGTGAAGCTTGCATGCATCTGAAGAACCAACGGAGTTGCTCCATTCAGTAAGTTTTCATCTCTTAATTCTCTCATTCTAGGCATTGATTTAGGCTCATACTGGTTGCATCTGAAGCCCTACATTGAGTAGGCCATGTTTGATCCATTGTTGTTCATGTTTGATGAAGTTTTCAGTTGGTGCACTCAAACTTTAAGTCTTCAATTCTCCTTGATCTTGAACCTTTATGATGATTGATCTATGGATTTGGAATCCTTGTAGCAAGACCTTTGGTTTGGTACCATTTTTGTGCCTGTTGGTGGTGGTTTTTCACCTGAGCTCTGGTGAGCTCACTGGAGAAGACGACCGGAGCCCTAGCTCTGGCGTCTGGTTATGTTTCAGCCAGATCTGATGTGGATCTCCCTTGACTTGTTGACTGCATGCGTGTTTGGGTATGATTGGTTTGACTGAGCTTGTTTGGAACTTCGACTCCACGTCCGTTTAATGAAATGGTGTGTTTTGTGTAATAAGCTGAGTCTGATGGATTGGGCTTGGTTTACTTTTCACGCCCCCTCTCATTTGGAACCCAAACGTGTTTGCTTTGGTTCCTTTGTATCTGGATTTTACTTTCACACCTCCCTTTCTCTTCCTTTTATTTTCATTTTATTTTATTTGCTGTTTTGATTTGCAATTATTAAAAATAGCGCCAATTGTCCAAAAATTCCACAAAAAATATTTTCCATCATTTTAAAACCTTAATTAATTTTCCATAATTTTTAATTCTGATTTTATTTTATTTTACAATTTACTTTGAATTTTGCAATTGAAGAGGTTTTTAAAATTGTTTTCATTTGATCATCCATACTTGAGCTACCATTTGATATCACCAATGAATAAGGTTTCTTCTCCATTTAGAGGGTGGATTGAGGTACCTTTGAGGCTAATTTTGGTCATTGTTTGATCATTTTTTGTTTGACTTTGCTTTGCTTTTGTTTGACCCTCGATAAATATTCAATAAAGTGGAACACCCTAGTTGATCAAATCATTTGGTGATGCCTTGAATTGAATTTGGTTTTGAAACTTTGGCCTCTGTTTTCCATAATGATTGTTTGATTTGTGCATTTTATTTGATATTTATTGAACATTTCTTCTATTTTTGGTGAACCTTGCAAGTCAAGTCATCCTAGATGAAGTTCATACAAACTAGTTGACCTAGTTCCATTGGGAAATGACTTTGATGGATCCCATATGCACCCTATGACTCTTGATACTCATTCTTGTCATGGTTAAGGTGCTGGATTTGCATTTATAGGTCACACACTTGTGTATCTTGTGTTACAAGTCACTTTGAATTTAGGCATTCCACTTGCTTCTAAGTGTTGAATGTGGTTTGAACTTTGGTTCTTTTTCTTGCCTTAGCTTGTAACTTGCTTATGAATTATTTCCATTCTTGTTTGTGGGCTTTCTTCTTGTGTTCCCACTTCTGTCCCATGAGGTTGGATCATCATTCAAGATAATTTGGTGTCCATGTGCATACTTTGAGTTTGTCTTGAATGATTGACCACTTTGAGCACTTGTTTGTTCTTTCTTCTTACATGATCAATATGATGAGTTTGGTTGAGATACATTTCATGTGCTTGCTGCCCAAGTTTCATTATCCCATCTCCATTTTGATCATGGCTTCTCCTTTTGCTTTGTTGTTTTCCTTTTGGTGTTAGTGATTGATGCATGAATGGTTGTAGGAGTTTTAACTTCTCCCATTTCATCTCACTTTTTCCTTGACTTGTTTAAGTCATTTTGCTTTCATATTTTCTTGGTTTTGCATCTCTTGCATATTGCATATCATGCTTGCATTTCTCTTGACTTGTTTAAGTTAATTTCATCTATTTCTTGCATTTCATTTGTGATTGATTTATCTTGTGTTTTCTTGGTCTTTTGCCATGATCCTTTAGGATTCCTAGTCCCTTCGTTTAGGATGGGAGTAGGAGAGACATTAAGTGTTCAATCCAAGCATTCTAACATTAAGATAGTCTTTTCCCCTCTTAATCCCAACATTAGGAACACATTGCATGATAACATTAGGGTTGTTTAGTTTCCCCTTAGAGTTTGTGTCTTCTCTTCTCATCTCAAAACATCCTCAGACACTTAATAAAGGATAATAAATGTTGTACGATACGAGCCTTAA